TTTTAAGTTTGGATCCCATTCCTTCCTGTGATGAGAGTACACAGCATGTCACAATGTGATAGGCTATAAGTAGTGGTGTCTTAGTTTGTTAGGCTGTAAACACTGTCTTTTATGCATCTTTTATTTGTATCCCGTTACCTCTTGTGATTGTGAAGAAAGGAGAAGATACATTAGTGATTTAATGTAATATGAATGTCTTGAACATCGTTCAGAGGAGTTCAACTATTAGACTTATCAGAAGGGCTGTGAGCACAGCACTAAACCTTTCCTATCAAATTCAAAGTTTTAGAGTACGTTGATGAGTGTGAGGAATCACCAAAAGGTATTGATGTTAAGGTAAATGTTTTTTCCCATTTCTCAAACATTTTGAAAGAGTAATCAGAAATATTGCCTGGCTTGAAAAGGTAATTTTTTTCTTACATTTCCTTCATGTAAAAACTGCAAATAAGGAATAAAATAGAACTTGAGAAGATCTCAAATATTTTGAAAGAGTAATCAGAAATATTGCCTGGCTTGAAAAGGTAATTTTTTCTTACATTTCCTTCATGTAAAAACTGCAAATAAGGAATAAAATAGAACTTGAGAAGAATAGTACCTTTTTTAAGACACAAAATGTTTTTTCTAGGGTGAATATCTCAACAAACTTGAATGATAAAATTTTAAGTTTTTATAAAACAGAGCTGTCTTTGTAACATGATAATTCACATCACCTCAAGTTGCTGCAAAGCAGGTGTCTTGTTTCAGCAGTTTTATTTATTGCGTATAGACTGTTTAGAACAGCTATTCCTCTAAGGGCAGACCAGAGGAAGTAAAATAAAATTAGTAACTAATGAATATTGAATCACAGGATTTTATTTTATTTTTTCATGGAAAGATTTGTATCATCTTTAATTCAATTTTAAAAAAATTTAAATTAAAACATGATCGATTGTACATACCTGTGTAATGCCATGTTAAAATCAATACTTGTGTGCAATATGAGATACTCAAATCATGATAATTAGTATATTCAACATTACACAATGTAATCATTTTTTGTGGCCCTTTACCAATATCTCACTAACCTCCCATCTCTCCCTCCCCCTTTCCCACCTCTGGTAACTTCAGCTTTCTTCTACCCTTTTGAAAGTTCATCATATTATTGTGATTGTTGTATTTTTCTTTTTTTTAAACTTTATTTATTTATTTATTATCTCCCACTTATTTCTTTTTCTGTGCCTGGTTTATTTTACTCAACATAATTTTCTCTAAGTTCATCCATCTTGCTGTGAATGGCAGAATGAAATTCCTTTTTATGGCAGAATAGTATTCCATTGAGAACATATACCACACTTTCCTTATCCAGTCATCTGTCAATGAACATTTAGGTTGGTTCCAACTCTTGGCTACTGTAAATAGAGTTGTGATAAACATGGGTGTGCAGGTATCCCTTCAACACGATCATTTCCACTCATGATCACAACGTGATCATTGGCCACTCAGGCAGCTTGAAAGCTGGAGTCATGCAAACAGCTAGAAGGCTGGAGCTGTGCAAATACCAGGTGCTGTGCCGGCAACATGGGTCAAGTAGTGGGGTGCATTGTGCAGCATGAGCTCCACTGTGGGGAGAAGGGCCATGGCTCTGGGACTAGACAATGGCACAGGCAACCACGGAGGTGGTGACAGCAGACTGGGGCAGGAGCAGGAGGAAGGTTACCGCTGGGAATTGCTCACAACCAAGCAGATTCTTTACACCACAGGGAGAATTCCTCCTGGCTGGTCCTGGTTTGGGAGACTTGGCAGTGTCTGAAGCTGCGTGCCTCTTTCTCCTCTACATTGCCCTGCTTGGTTTATGTGCTCCACAAGGTCCTCACCAGGCTGCTGCTGCCCTCCCACCCCCTCCCACTGATGCTCTTTCCTGTACTTAGCTGTCCTTTACTTGCTTTGGTTCCTTTCTGTGGGAGGATCATGGTTGGGCACCTCTGGTCTACCATCTTGCCCTGCCTACCCCCAAATCATAGCATTTTAGAGTGGGAAAAGGTTTCCTAGGATAGCTAATCCAGCCTCCTCTATAATTGACTTCATCTAAATTCCCCCAACACCATCTCTGAGAGATTATTCATCAGCCTCTGTCTGTGCAGGGATAGTAGTAAAAACTAGGACACTACTTACCATTATAGAAGTAACATATGCTTACAATACAGCATTTGGAAAGTGAAGATAAGAATTTAAAAAATCACCCCATCCCAATTATAGCAAAGGTGCTATAATTTTGTTGTATTTTTTTCCATTTTCATAAGCATGTTTTTATTCATTTTTTATCACTTAGTATATACGATTTTGTATCCACAGTTTTTCTGTTGTTGACCTATTAGCATGTCTCCATGTTTTTAACAGATCTTTGTGGATAGTAATTTAATTTTTGCATGGGATGACACCACTAGAAAATAATCTATATTGTTCCTTCCTCACTATTCTTTGATATTATTAATTCATTCTTTCTTAGATGTACTTCAGTCAGGCTTCTGAAATTTCTCTTGACAAGGCCCCCAAATGTGACCACTACTGTGCCAAATCCAATGGTCAGCTCTCAGTTCTCATCTTATTTACCCATCAGTAGCATTTCACACAATTGATCATATGGCTTCTGGAGTGCCACAGCCCTTTGGTTTGCTCCTGCTTCAGCGGTTGCTCCTTCTAAGTCTTCTTTGCTGATCCTCCTCTTTGTCTCAGCCTCTTAACTTTAGAGTGCTCCAGGCTGCTCTGCACTTTACTCTGTTAGTGATTTGCCCAGTTTTTTGGATTTAACAGCATGTATATGCTAACAAATCCCACATTTATATCTCCAGCCTGGAGCTCTTTGCCTACTTGACATACTCACTTTGACATCTAACAGGTAGCTCAAATTTATCATGTCCCGAACTGAACTCCCCTTATCTTTTCAAACATGCTTCACTCCAAGTCTTTCTCCTCTCTATTGATGGCAACTCCATCATTTCTTTCAGTTCCACAGACTAAACCCCTGGGATAATCTTTAAATCCTCTATTTGTGTGGTATCCCATATGCAATCCATCAGCATCTCCAGCTGTCTCTACCTTCACAATGTCTACCTAGATACCTCCCACTTCTTGACTCTTCGATTTCTTCCACCCTGATCTAAGCCACTGACAGACCTGGACAATTTTATTGCATCAGCCTTATAGTTGATTTTCTTTCCCCCACTCAATCTATTCTTAACACAGTAGCCTGAGTGATGGTGTTAAAACATAGGTAGATTATGTCTCGTCCCTCTCCTTCTTTAAACATGCCAGTGACTTCCTATTTTACTCTGAGTAAAAGTCCAAGAGCTTATGATATTTCCCAAGGCCTTCTGTGATCTGCCCACCACTCCCATTACCTCTCTGACCTTGACTCACTTTCTGCTAGTCTCTGCATTGCATACTCTTCTTGGGTAACTCTGGCTTTTTTTCCCTCCACCTCAAACCTGCCAGCCCCCTTCTTTCTTGGGTTTTTGGCTGTGATCTGCCCACCACTCCCATTACCTCTCTGACCTTGACTCACTTTCTGCTAGTCTCTGCATTGCATACTCTTCTTGGGCAACTCTGGCTTTTTTTCCCTCCACCTCAAACCTGCCAGCCCCCTTCTTTCTTGGGTTTTTG